CCTTATGTCTATTCGTCACCACCACCACCTGTTCCATACTATAATTCACCGCCCCCACCAAACTCTCCGCCGCCTTATGTCTATTCGTCACCACCACCACCTGTAGCCCATTCTCCACCACCCCCAATGCCTTCACCACCATCACCACCTCCTTGTATAGAACCACCACCACCTCCACCACCCCCTTGTATAGAACCACCCCCACCCCCGCCTCCGCCTTGTATTGAAAATTCACCTCCTCCACCTCCAATTATTTACCTGCCACCACCACCACCACCGCCTGTGATATATTCATCACCTCCTCCACCTCCAATTTACTCTTCTCCACCACCCCCAGTGGACCATCCATCTCCACCTCCACTATCACCACCACCACCAATCATATACAATAGCCCACCACCACCAGCTCCAGTATACGAGGGTCCATTACCTCCGGTGATTGGCGTTTCATACACGTCTCCTCCACCTCCACCTATCTATTGATTGATTCATGAAATTTCAGTTGCATTCTGAAACAACAGCCACAATAATACAGCCATCTGTTTGGTGATGAAGAAATTCTTCAGCATGATGAGAAAGGTTATAGGAAAAAGAAGATCTCAGAGAATTGATGACAGAAATAAGTAAAATCTGAAAAACAAAATGTAGGTTGCAGAATGTATAGAGAACATCCATAGAAGCCATTGATGAGTTATTTCTTATGCTGGTTTGTGGGTTTCTAGTTTTATTATTTCATTTCATACTTTTTTCTAATATATTATTATAATATATTGAATCAACGACATTTTACTTGTACTTTCTCTCTCCATCTTCATATTTCTTATCATCCCTTTTTCTATGTTGACTTTGCATTTCAAAATGGGGAGGAGCGCTAATGCCATTCTCTGATAAGGGTGTTAGAATGCACGGGGAATTGAAATTTGTATTAAATTATCAAACTCAAGATCAAATTACTTTTAATTTTTAAGTTACACTTTACATCCGTATAGTTAGTCATTTAATTTAATTTATATCTCTTTCGACATCTTTGCATACAATTTCTCTCGTTTCAATAACTCTAGAAATCAGACGTAGATGATTCACGTGCTCTTCTTCAGATGGAGAGTATATTAATATATCATCGATAAAAACAATAACAAATTTATCAAGATATGGATGGCACACCCTATTCATCATGTCCATGAATGCCGCTGGTGCGTTTGTAAGTCCAATCGACATTACTAAAAACTCGTATCGACCATAGCGCGTACGGAATGTTGTTTTCAACACATCTTTTTCTCGTATCTTTAGCTGATGATAACCGGATCGTAAGTCAATCTTCGAAAATTAACTAGCCACAATCAACTGATCAAATAAATCATCAATTCTTGGAAGTGGATATTTGTTCTTGATTGTCAACTTATTCAACTCACGGTAATCGATACACATTCTCATTGATCCGTCTTTCTTCTTTATAAACAATATCGGTGCACCCCAAGGAGATGTACTCGGTCAGATAAAGCCTTTGTCGAGCAATTCTTTCAACTGTGACATTAACTTCTTCAATTCAGACGGAGCTAATCTATATGGTGAACGAGCAACTAATGCGGCTCCAGGTATCAATTCGATCTGAAACTCTATCAATCGATCCTGAGGTAAACTTGTCAAGTCTTCCGAGAATACTTCTGGAAGTTCACTTACGACTGGAATATTCTCCATCTTGCTCTTTTTTTCCTTCATATCAATCACGTAAGCGAGAAAGCTTACACACCTATTCTGCATATATCTCTGAGCCTTTAAAACATAAATAAGGCTAGAACAACGGTCTCGTTTATCGCCATAAATTATAACGGGCCCCTTCCCTGGTAAATCTATATGAATCATTTTCTTATTATAGATTATGTTGGCATGATTTTTAGCCAACCAATCCATACCCACTATTACATCAAATTCTCGCAACGGACATATGAAATAATTTAATGGGTACATCACACCGCGCTACTGCTATAATACAATCATAAAAAACTTCCTTGACCAAGACTTCACTATCGTTTGCGGTTTCTACCATCAAAGCATTATCTAACACCTTAGACTTTAAACACACACATCCAACAAATGAAGGCGACCCAAATGAATGATTTACACCAGAATCAAGTAAGACTTTGGCACATACTGAATTAACAAAGAATGTACTCGTCACCACTTCCAGGTTTTCTTCAGCTTCATCTCTCGTTATCTGAAAGGCTCATCCTCTCATCACCGTCTCTCCACGCCTTACTTCTCCACGGCCACTAGGAATATTTCGGTTAACCACCGGCCCCCGATTGGGTGGATTGCCCCTAGAATAACTAGATTCCCGTCCCTTCGCTTGAGCGTGTTGGATGATTTTGGGGTTCCATTAAACTTAGGTCTACGAAAATCAGCCACTATCACATCTCCTTTCATCTTCTCCCTAATTCTCTATTGTGATTGCCGATTGTTATCTTGATCAAGAATCTCCGCAACATCAACCGTTGCTTGAAACATAAATGGATTTCTGGAAATCACATACGTTCTAAGGTTGGGTTCTAAACCCCATATATACTTTCTTAATTTGCCTTCAGTAGCAACATATACCTCAGCAAATCGAGACTGTTCCATGAATCTTTAAGTAAACTGATGAACCGTCACACTGCCCTGCTCTAGTTGAAGGAAATCGTACTCTAGCTTTCATATCGCAGCTTCAGGACAATATTGTACTTTAAACTTTGCAACAAAATCCTCCCAAGATATTGTATCCAGAATATTTGGATCTGAACTCATCATAATTTCCCACCAGTACAGTGCACTCGACCGCAATCTCGATATAACAAACATCATTTTATCTTCTTTCGCGCTTTGACTGGTCTTTAGACTCATTTATGTTTCTTTAAGCCAACACATGGCCTTAACCGAATCACGCTCACTAGAAAACTTAGGAGACTTACATGCAAGAAACATCTTAATATCACCTCCCTTTGGTACTGAAGATGAGGTAGGTGGTGTAGATGTGGTTGTCACCGGTATACTTGCCCCGACTTCGTCATGGAGATTCAAATTCACCATCACTTCTGGATTATGCTGAGTATAACGCCCCAGTAGAGATACCAAATTATTATCGAATTTCCCCAATTCGGTCGCTAACATTTCATGAGTAATAAACTTAGGGTTGTGAGCACAACCTCTGCCCCGTCCATGTCCTGACATTGAGCTCTCTTGTACTGACATCTCACGCTCAATATGAATTTCTTGTTGAATATCTCTACCTGTTCCTCAGGCCCAACCTCGGCTCCTTATTTCCATTGTTGCAATAACTTCTGGATTTATTCTAGAATCCAGGATGCCTCTTCCCTGGCCTCTTTGGTGGCCCGCAGATGTTCCCTCAGGGATATTCCTCAACACAGGATTCTCAGACACATTCCTAACTGGACGTATAGGCTTATCTGCCATCTTATCTTATAACTCTTAGCTGCAACAATAAATATGTATACTATTAATCATATACTTAAATATAATAAGATGTTTAAGTTCAAAAAAGCACCTGTAAACTCATGATTACGTTGGCCGTCTGTGATTTAAATCTACCGTACTTGCCGTCACTTTAGATCCAATTATATTTAACATATCCCAGGCTATAAATCCAAGTGGAACCTATTATCATATGGTTAGCATGTCTAGTTTAAGTCTAAGTACTAGAGAAATACCTAGATCTCTTAAAACGAGGCTCTGATACCAACTGTAACAATCAGCAACAAATCCAAATCCCAAAATATTCGTTATAACATATAACATGTCATAACATAAAACATGTTTCAATATATACAAAGAGACCAGTTATATCCATACATATCAGCAAAAAGTCTGAACACAAGAACCGATCTAACAAAAACTAGTCCAACAGCAGTTACATCTTTCCTTTGCCTTTATCTTCCAACTTGAGTTGACCTATAAATTTTTTTACAAATGGTTGAGGGTTAGACTGAAAGGTCTAGTGAGTGATTTCCCTTGTGTTTAAACCTGCCATAAATAAAATGTTAATAAATTCAGTCCTGATCTCAAATGTTAAAATTATCGTACCCTGCAATCTATTGCGCTTATCCCACCAACTATCGCGGATGCCCTCCATCTATTGCAATTATCTCGCCAACTATCGTGGATGGCGCGCCATTTATCCCGGTTATCTCTCCAACTATCGCGGATACCCCGCCATCTATCGTGTTTTAATCGATAAACATATTCATTGATCAAAGCTTGGGCAATGAACCTTCTCATTGATAAAATATTGGACCATGAACTCCCTCGTCGGACAAGGCTTGGGCGATGCAAGGTCTATCCGGCCAAGGCTTGGGCGGTGAGTACTCTATCCATCCAAGGCTAGGGCGATGAGTACTCTATCCGGTCAAGGCTTTGGGCGATGAGTACTCTATCCGGCCTATGCTTGGGCGATGAGTACTCTATCCGGTCAAAGCTTTGGGCAATGACCTCTCTAGCCGGTCAAGGCCTTAAGCGATGACCTCTCAATTAGGTCAAAGTTTTTGGCGATGACCTCTGTATCCAGCCAACTTGAGCAATGACCTCTCAATCCTCAAAGCTTTGGGCGATGACCAGGTCTTATCGGTCATAGAGTTAGGCGATGAAGACTATAACAGACTAATATATTTATAATTTATTGGACTACTTCGACATGTTAGTTTGAATCCAATACATCATATAATTTAATGTATCAAAGTAAATCACGAGAAAGGTAATAACACGTATTTTACAAAAGCTTTGTAAAAACTCACCTCGTACGATATCAACCGAAACCGAACCTCTATCCATGTCTACGTAAAACTTCTCAAACTTCTTTCAAAAACTCACCAGTCGAAATACCTCTATGAAGTTCTCCCAAACCATTTATATACATAATAAGAGGAGAAGAGAGGTGAGGCAGTGCATGGGTTTGCACCTAGCCTCCTCCCCCCATGTGAATACCTCACCACATCCCAAAGCCAAAGCTAACCATTAGACCAAAAATATAATATCACAATGAGGTGATCTATGTTTCCTTTTCGGTCCCTCATCTTCCAATAACTATAAGACTTTTACCTCTGAACCTTTCATTGCTATATATTTGAAACCCAATCATAAATTTAAAACCGAACATTACAGCAGGTATGGTTATTTAGGCTACGAAGTGTTTACCGGCAAGGTAAACCTGTCAACTTCATTATCATTTTTTTCGTAATGCTTATGTCTAAGACACTTTTGTGATAACCAGGTTTTATTGCTTAAAAGTTTGGTGTTGCTTTTGAATAGTGGCAGAAAGTTGAGGGGCTGAGTTGAAAAGTTGTTTTAAAATATCCCTTTTGGGTCACTTCCTCTTATAATATATATATATATATATATATATATAGAGGGTGGTTCAAATACTAACCCAATATTTTGTGCAAACTTTGCTAACCCACATCAACCAATAATGTTGCATCTTTGGGTTTGGTTAAAATGTAACTTACATATTAATGATAAGGGTATTTAGGT